GTTTCGGGAAGCAAGAAGCCGAGAAATCCGCCTATCAACGTAAGGCAGCTGAAGACTGTGATGGGTATGACCGAGTGGTACATGGCCAACAAGTTCAGCAGTGGAGCCAGTAATCCACCTAATCTTGCTGATATGGATCCTAAAGCTGTGGCTGTTTGTCTGAAACAGGAAGACAAATGGTATACTCACTAATTCTTTTGTGTTCTTTTCACACAAGTTGTTCACAAACATGAATAAAAACTGTGACTGCTTACCTAACCGAGTTGGAAACAACTCCTGCATAAAGACCATACAAACAGAGCCAGCCCATATCAAGAAAAAACGAGACACAACAGCTAAAGATGTGACAGAAATGGCGTAACCTGACATAATGAAATAAATAATTAATAAAAGTGAACGTAAACATGATAATCAGACAAAAATAAAATGCATTTTGTGATATAACAAAGCTTTTACTATCAGGAACAGCGAGGATAAGTATGGAGGAGACTCCTCCGATCAGAAGGGTTGCTATGAATAATATTTTCCTCCCAAAAATCTCCAGCAGCCACATGGAGAGTAAAACAGATGGTACTTCAAAAACACCATAAAGGAGTTGGGTTACAAAGATGCTCAAACCAAAGTTTTGCATGTCTAAGTACAAACTGTAGATGGAAAGGTTCACGGAAAACCTTTAAAAGAGAAGAGAAACACATTTAATCAGACACAAAAGTCCTGTGTCATGAACCATTTATAACACATTTATGAATGGCCATTTAATCATCAAAACATCAAATTCAAAACTCAAATCTTACGATTTAAAAACAGCGACATGTTTTTACATTGAAATATTTCCCTTTAATGTATTAACCCCACTATAGATGTTGAACTTACCATGATAGTATTATAATAAAGAAATATCTGGTCAGCAGTGATGATTTGAAGATGATTTTTATTCCTTCGTTATTCACAGTGTTATTCACTTCAATCTGTGGGAGACATAATGTTTATCGTAACACCATTTTAATACTATTGATAATAATGGAGATTTGTTATGCCTCCAGTGGTATTACTTTGAATCAAGGTAGAATTTCTTTTAGCAAATTTAGCACAAAAAAAACAAATCCACATTGATCAGGTCACCACTCTAGGCCTAACCCATCGACATCAACACCGTTTACACCTTCTGCAAATTTAGAGTGAGCAATTACCCTAACATGCATGTCTTTAGACTGTGGGAGGAAGTCAAACAGACACGGGCAGAACATACAGACTCACTGTGTTGCCTAAGTCCATATCTCTTGTCCTTAATATGTTGAATAATGAACATAATGTCTTCTCTATTCATGACTCTACTTTCCTTACTTAATTTGTTTATTTGATTAGCAACATTACGCAAAAAACACCAGGGACAGTTTAATGTCACTGGGTGGAGGGGCAGAGGCAGAGCTTAAAAACCTTTAGACACCCCACCACCACCATTTGCATGAGTAATAGTGGAGGACTGACTCTTTAGTAGTCAGAGGTTATTGCCATCTTGATGAAAACGGTATAAAAATCCATTATAAGAAAGCCTGTGCAAACTTTATTGAAAAATAATTAAAAAAATACCAGGCATGGTACCAAATCTAACCAGTGTTGGTCAAGTTACTTGAAAATAGTCATTAGTTACTAATTACTGATACTTCTCCAAGAAAGTAATCTGTTACTTTACTGATTACTTATTTTCAAAAGTAATTATTATTACTTAGTTACTTTTAAAAACACGATTTACAACCTGAAGTAGTATAAAGCATAGACTTTCAGCCCAATTCTATTTTTCTCATAATCCATCATAAAAATGAATCAAATGAAAAGTCTCTTTTTAAAACTTGTTTTATTAGTTTTAATCTTTTAACTTTATGCATCAAGCAAAAATTAATTATATGCAACATCTCTTGACTTGAAGAAATTGTTTAACATTTAAACCTATTTTCTGCAATTTCCAGCATATAAAATAAAATATGTTTTTGTGTTTACACTTACTCTTTCAAATAGATGCAAGTAAAACACAGCAAAAATAAATAAAGTCAAAGGTTCGGCAGCACTAAGTCCTGTCGTTCTTAAATCGATTGTCACCTGTTTAGCAGGAGTGGGGCCGGTGGAGGTTTGGCCGGTGCTGCAGCGGTCATGTCAGTGGGGGGATCTGGGGATTTCTCTGTGAATTTCACACTCCTGTGGCAGGGTGCTCGGTGCTTGCACAGATTTGAAGTTTAATTTTTCGCTGTAGAAAGAAGTTTTCTTCCCACGCAGAGTGAACAGTGGTCGCTAATGTTTTTGTCATTTTTTATGGAATGAAGCTAAAAGTAATGTCAGGACGTCCACGCTTTAAACGCTGCACGGTCGTACTCTAGCTCGCATTGTTGATCTACACATGTCTGTTGCTGCAACGGACGTCGTACGCTCGCACGTCAATGTCGTGAGACACTCTCACAAATAAAATCACTGTTTAGGGAAATGAATATAACACACTTATTTTGAGGTATTTTACAGGTGTCATCCGATGTTCTTGAAAACTCCTCCCCTGATGAATGTGATTCACTACCTTGTCCAGAAGAGACTCTGACACAGGGTGTTTGTTAATGGCTGCTGCTTTGACAATGAGCTGTTTGGCTTCTTCTTTTCTGCCTCTGCTTAACAGCCACCTGGCTGACTCTGGAATAAACCTGATAGGAAGAAAATGGCACTTCAAACAAACAGACATATTGAAATGTATAAATAACTCAATAAATAGAGTGAAATACACACCATATGTAGATAATAAGCACTGCAAGCGGAACTGCTGTGATCAGCTGAGCCAGTCTCCAGTTTCGGATGCCATAGATCATACCAGCGAGGACGCACTCTCCAATTGCACTAAACAGCTGAGTCACACAAGCTCCCCATGATCTTTTGGACGTCCCAATCCATTCAGTGGCTGCAATAAGGAAATATGTTAATTGTTTGTTTATTTTAGATTAAGACCTCAGCTCAAATGGAACAAAATAAATAAATAACAACAAAAATAAGTAAAAACATTGCACATCAGCTGCTATGAATATCTCGGCTGACTGTACATATATTTTTCTATTACTGTTTTATACCTAATCAGACAGAACATCTCAGTGTGAATGGATAATGACCCAAACCAACCAACAAACAACAAAAGAAAAGAGCTTCCTGAGACGACTGAAGAGGCTGAGCGCAATGGGTATCAGTGTTTAACTACTGCAGCATCTCAAACATGTTATTTTGTCAATGATCGTTTTTTCATCTGTTTCTGCTTTATGTCTTTCAGACAAGTTAGTCCCACAAGAAGAACAACTACCAGTCCACATTCATATTCAACCAAGATGTAGATGTTTTTGTACGGATTTCATCTTTACAAATATGTGATGTATTTAAATGAACCACAACCTCAGTCATCATGTTCTATAGACGCCCCTGGTTCTGGACTCAGGGTCTGAAGATACATCTGAGGAGACCGCAGTCTTAATAAGTTATCATTTTGTTAACACTTTAGTTTTTAGACAGTGTAACTTTGGCTAACTTTCTGCAGTACAAAGAACCAACTGTAATAATAAGTGATTAAATAAACACTGTTTCCATCACCTTGAAAAAATTAAACACTATTCCCACTACTTGTTTCCCATTAACTGCTGCAGCATCACATTCTGAGAGCAACCCTGCTGTTATTCTATCATGTGTTTAACTTTGTGAAGGTGAATCTTAATCCAAACTATGATCTTTTCATAAATGTCACCAAGTAGTTTGTGTGCATAATTATAATTATAATAATCATTCTCAGCATTAGAAACTATTTTGGGTGATTAGTTTGAAATATTGTGCAAACACATGACCAGTGAAAAGACCTGAATGAGCAACAATCACTCATTGCTCACTGCATGATGGGAAGGTCCCAGCAACCTAGCCCTTCTGCAGCATAGCTAAGTGAAGGCTCAGTGTCACCTGATCCAGCCTTAACTATGAGCTGCATCAAAAAGGAATGTTTTAATGCTAAGTAGAGAGGGTGTGTGTCTGCTGAATGCAAACTGGGAGCTGGTTCCACAGAATAGCGGCCTGAAAGCTAAAGGCACTGCCTCCCATTCTGCTTTATGTCCTAGGAGCCACAAGTAGGCCAGTAGTATGAGGGCAAAGTGCTATATTGGGATGGTATGGTAGTATGAGGTCTTTAAGATTACTTAAGACCTTGTATATATACTCGATTCTCTAGTCCCTGTCAGTACTCTCACTGCTCACTGCAGCACTTTGTTTCCCGAAGCCAACTGATGGCTTTTTAGGAGACCCTGATAACTTACTGATGTAAGTTACTTCTAGTCCAGCCTAGAAGTAATAAATTAATGAACTAGTTTTTCATCATCACTCTTAAAGAGGATCTTTCTAATTTTAGAGATATTGCGCAAATCACTGCATTACTGCAGTTTAAACTAATTGGTGTGATATGTAAAGCTGGTATCATTGGCATAATAATGAAAATGTAAATTATGTCTTCTAATAATACTTCCTAAGTGAAACATGTATAATATAAACAGAACTGCACAGAATCCTGTGGAACTCCATAATGTGAGGAAGAATTTGAGATAAAAAAAACCCCAAAAACGTTGGAGATTAGTCTATAAGACAGCTGGGGCACGTGATGCGTTTTTAAGCAACGGTTTAATTAATGACACCCTCAACGCCATTGGGAAGAGGGTGGGCCATGTCATATCATTCACAAAAATACAGGAAATTTTTTTTTTGATATCATGATATTTCATGGTGTAAACACATCACCCCGTCACACAGTGGATTACAGTCACGTGGGTCACGCGGCATGAAGTTATTAAAGTTGTTAAGGTGAAGAAAACGTTATGGCTGAAGATTTAATTCACAAAAGCGCAGCTCTTCAGTGTTGTTTAATTATTTTGGATACAAACGAGGAGCTACAGAACAAAGTACAATAATATGTAAGGAGTGCAAGAAGGCTATAATATCTAAAGGGGGAAATCCCTCTAATTTATTTCACAATCTCAAGCATCAACACCTGATTCTAGTAAAGAGCCAGGCAATCAAAGAATGAGCAGTCAGCGAAACTGTATCATTACTGCGTGGTCAGTAGAATCAGAAACACCACAAGCTTCAAGATCAGCCGAAGACAACCTGGGCCAAAGCGCAAAGTTGCCAAAGAAGACCCTTGGAAGCTTTTTTAAGAGGGTAGCAGCAAGGACTGGGACCATCTCCAAGGGACAGGCAGAGTTAAAAACGACCTAGATTGTCCCCCAGCAGATGGTGACAATGATCCCCTCAAATGGTGGAAAGTGCACGAGGTTAACTGTCCTCAGGTCAGTCATTTGGCAAAAAAGTACTTGTGCATCCAAGCCACAAAGTGCAGCCTCTGATAGGTTGTTCAGCACAGGAGAGAACATTGTCACCTGTAATAGGCCTGCACTGAAGCCTGCTCAGTTAATAGGCTTGTGTTCTTGAATAAGTATTAACTGTGATAATTATGGTTTGCCACTGATTGGCAGCGTTGTTTTTTTGAGTTTTCATATGAAATGGATGTTGTATGTTTTGAAACCTATACTTCATTTACAGTTAAAGTATAGTGAAGTTATACTTCATTTAAAAGCAACTTATTTTTTTTGTTTGACTGTTTATGCTCAAAAGATTTGAGAATTATTCATTTTATTTTTCTAAACGGCACTTTTTTGTGGTGGATTTTATTTTATTCTTTTAGTATTTATGTTTTATACAAACTTTTTCAATCCAAAGAACAGAGGGAGAATTTTTATTTTTATACTTTAAGACTGAATACATTGAAGTTACCTGTGTAATTTAGCTATGTTTTTCTTTTTATAGAATATAAGAATATACCTGTTATGTTTAATTTGTCAAATTAATAACTTTTTCTGTATTTTGTCATATCGTCAAATTTATCGTTATCATGAGAATACTCTGAAATATCGTGATATTATGTTTGGGCCATATCATCCATCCCTAATGTCATATCTAGCCCATTTGCCAATGTGTCTTAACAAGAAGCTGAGTAAGCGTACATAATAAAGTGGTCATTGAGTGTTTATGTTCTGCATATTATGCAAGACTGAAACAAGAGGGATTTCTGAATCTTTTAATTGGGTATAAATCAGTCACATTTTTGTGAATATATCCACACAAACTGTAGAAACACCTCCATTAGAAACACATCCATTACACATTTAAATGTCTGTTTTGCAAATGTATTCCTGGATAAACTGAGAATGTTTATAGCTGCTATTGAGTAATGTATACAACAGGAGTTTATACCTTGAGTGTGCTAACACTGCGAAAAGCAAACAATCCTTTAGTTTTTCCTTAGTTACATTTTTACTCATTAATCCCTTTACTGTTCAGGCATAAATTATAAACTATATGATCTTTCTTGATTGCAGGCAAACATTGTTACATCATCTCTTTTGACTTGCAGTATTACTTGTCTCTCTTTCTCTGCTTTTTTGTGTCAGCTTTTTTGATTACACACCACTAAGAGACTTAGCTCTGTTTACTGCTTATTGCCAACTCAGATATTCTGCAGCCTAATGAACTTACATATTTACAGCAACAGACTTAAAATCAACAATAGGTTGGGTTTGTGTGTGTGTGTGTGTGTGTGTGTGTGTGTGTGTGTGTGTGTGTGTGTGTGTGTGTGTGTGTGTGTGTGTGATGACTTTTGAAACAGCACTAAAAGAAATGATCAGATTGTAAGCATATAGATAAGTGATAAGAGCTTTTACACAGTTGTATAAAGGATATACGAATGTGCTGACATGACAGCAGTTCAGTACCTTCAAGTAAGAACAATTAAAATAAAGGGTCTTGTGTGCTAAAAAGATGATATAGCTGGGTTAAAGATTAACAGTCACTGTATGAGTCGGCGCTGCAGCTCTTTTGTTTTTCAGACCTTCACCATCAAGCTCAAAATGACAGACTTTGGAGAGATTCTAAGGAACATTGGGGAATTTGGATTATTCCAGAAGATCACTCTAATCGCACTTTGCTTTCCAAACTTTGTTCAGACTTTTCTCTATGCCAGTTTTGTTTTCATCCAATCAGATCCAGACAGACACTGCAGCACAGACTGGATCCTCAGTGCTGCTCCTAACCTGACCTCAGAGGAGCAGCTCAACCTGACCGTGCCTCGGGAGGAGGATGGGACCTTCAGCAAGTGTGAGATGTTTGTCCCAGTGAGCTGGGACATTGATACTATCAGAGAGTACGGACTCAATGAGACCACAGGGTGCCAGGATGGATGGGTGTATGGGAACATGCTCTACAAAGCCACCATAGTCACTGATGTAAGTGAAATTTGTTGTTCAGTAGATCTCTCACCTCCATGAAACATTACATTAATTATTTTGTTTGTCTGTTTTATTATTATTATTATTATTATTATTACAAATACTCACAGTTTGATCTAGTGTGTGGCCAGGCCAGCTTGGTGGAAGTGATTCAAGCAATGTTCATGGCTGGAGTTCTTGTTGGTTCTCTCATATTTGGACCTTTTGCTGAATCGTAAGTGTGCTCCTTGCAGTAGTTCATTGTTCCAAAATACAGAAATACTTTAATATAATTTCACAGGGAATGAATAACTTTTGTCTTTCAGCACCTTTACAAAACAAATGTTCGCTTCTCTATCTTAGCAACAGCTAACCAAAGAATTTTTAAAATTTTTCAAAGTTTAACAACAAATAGACGTGTGAAGAGTTTGCTGTACACACTCTTCAAGATTTCAACAAACTAAATGTTACCTAATAATTAGTCAGCATTAAAGATATATGTATCTCAAAATATAAAACTATATTTCTACAAACCCAATTCCAAAGAGTTGGGACAGTGTGTAAAATCTGAGTAGAAACAGAATGGAATATTTTTCAAATAAACCCATGTTTTCCTGATGTGCTGATGTTAAATTAGACTTACAATGAAATCTGTATGAAGTCAGTATTCCATATGCGTTTCTATAGATCTTTAAAGTAGTATGTTAAAGGGTCGCTTCCCTACATATATAACAAAACTGCAAATACAGTCATCTGAAAAGAGAGTTTTTAGAGGACTGTTGTGTAGTCTCTGTGCAGTCCTGTGAAAAAAATAACCTGCTTTGGCAGCAATTCCCCAGATTGATGCTGAGGGAAATCTAGGTACACTCAAAAAAATGAAACTGGGTGGTTGTTACATTAACAAGATTCAGACTTGTTGTTTCTATGGTTATGATTAAATCATGCAGGGTTTGCATGAAATTCAGCAACTTAATTTATTCTTGTTGAGATGACATAATACAATCTAGTTAGAGTGGTTAGTTGACTGAACTAACAAAATTCACAAGATCATACACGATTTCAAACCACAGGAAAATCACTGGGGTAATAAGAGGCAGACAATCGTACACACACCACATATGTGCTGTTGCTATTTATTGTGGTTTAACCTGTCGAGGACAAAAACGTACAGAAAATTCTGTATCAAGCCTTGTAATCATAACCTTCCTATTTTTTTAAGTCTCACTTGACAGCTTGGTGGCGCAGTGATTAACACTGTTGCCTCACACAGCAAGAAGGTCCTGGGTTCAAAACCACTATCTGGTCAAGTTTGCAGTGGGTTCTGCCTGGGTACTCTGGTTTCCTCCCACAGTTGAAAGTCATGCAGTTATTAGGGTCACATTAACTGGTGCTTCTTGTGTAAATGGTTGTCTGTCTCTATGTGATAGTGCAGTTGATTAACAGCACTTGCTATTTACCCTCCTCAGTGTTACTGAAACATGGGGTGTGGCTTTTCACAGGACTGCCCGTGAAAAAAACTCTATTTTTACATGATTGCATTACTGTTATCTCTTTAATGGCACAACATTAACCCGCAGCTCTTGTGATCAGTGTTAGGAAGGTTACTTTTAAAATGTATTCCACTACAGATTACAGAATACATGCCCCAAAATGTATTTTGTAACATATTCCGTTGCGTTAGTCAATGAGAGTAACGTATTCTGAATACTTTGGATTACTTAATATATTATCAAGCGTTTTACAACTACATGAATGTACTATTGCTGTGTGATTTATTACTATTACTGAAGGTTACTTGCCATACAAACACCTAATTTTAAAAAATATTTCTTTCACATCATTATCCGGGCTGCATGTAGAGGTGACATGGGCCACGAGATTGAGACACAGGCATTAGAGCCTCTTAATGCGTGTTTTGTTTGGGTTTCCACTGGCGTGGAGTTACCAACAAGAGAGAGGGGACAGCCTAACATATGAAACACGAAAAGACTGCCGTGTAATCCCTTTATTTCAACAAAGTAACTGTATTCTGAATACCACCTTTTAAAACGATAACTGTAACAGAATACATCGATCGAGGACGCTGAAAATATCTACCTATTCGGAACCATGATAACAGGGTTCTTGCTGATCGGAGCTGGCTTGGCCCTGGCTTATTGGAGAAATAAGAGAGCGGAACCGGCTGTTCAAACCCCCCCAAGGCTGCCCGCTGGAATCGAAGCGATGGGACGAGGCGCGACCTCTCACAACGAACGTAATATGGTTAACACCTTGGAGATGCTTACAGCTGCTGTGAAGGCTCAAAACAACACCACTGAGCGTATGGGGGGATACATCAGAGAGAGGCCTGCTCAAAATGAGACCCTTGAGTTGGAACACATCGCGGAACGGATCACTGCAGTTGTGAGGTCTCAGAATCAAAAGAATGACAACACCACGGAACAGAAGTTTGATACCATCACGGGGAGGCTCGCGGCTCTCCCATTTCACTGCAGGGCAACCTGCTTGTGACAAATAAAGCTGATTCTGATTCTGATAAATACGTAACAGCGGGTCATGTATTCCGTTACTCCCCCAACGCTGCTTGTGATTTACATAACAGAAGCTAATGTATCCCTGTGTGTTTGTTTTGGTGTTTCAGATTCGGCCGCAAACGAGCAACTCAGATTCCAGCAGTTCTGTTGTCTGTATTCACCGTGACAACAGCTCTCTGTCCCAACGTCTACTTATATTTAGTATCTCTGTTTCTGGTGGGATTTGGAGCTGGAGGATATCGAGTCAACAGCATCATACTATGTATGAAGAGTAAACTAACCTCTTTAGATCTTCTGGACAAGGCTACAACTAACAGTAGTTTTCATTGTAAAATAATCTGCCAGTTGTTCTCTCAATGGCTAAGATGATGTTCTTATAATGCTTTACAGGTCCAACAAGGCTGTACTGATCTGATATTTTCCATTCAAACTTTCTACTTCCGCCTCTTCCCATTTATTATTTTTATTGTTACTTTTATCTTACTGTTGCCTTTGTGACCGTTTTACATATTTACATTTACATAAGAGACGAAAGATAATCAGTTTCTAAACATAAAGATGTTGGACAAAGGACAAAGACACATTTATGTAATTTTGTGTCCATCTTTCTACAGTGAGTTTTGTCTTCAACTAAAGACATACTTGAGAAACTCTTGGGTTGTTGTTGGTTGGTTTGGGTCATTATCCATTCACACTGAGATGTTCTGTCTGATTAGGTATAAAATAGTAATAGAAAAATATATGTACAGTCAGCCGAGATATTCATAGCAGCTGACGTGCAATGTTTTTACTTTATTTTTGTTGTTATGTATTTATTTTGTTCCATTTCAGCCGATGTCTTAATCTAAAATAAACAAACAATTAACATATTTCCTTATTGCAGCCACTGAATGGATTGGGACGTCCAAAAGATCATGGGGAGCTTGTGTGACTCAGCTGTTTAGTGCAATTGGAGAGTGCGTCCTCGCTGGTATGATCTATGGCATCCGAAACTGGAGACTGGCTCAGCTGATCACAGCAGTTCCGCTTGCAGTGCTTATTATCTACATATGGTGTGTATTTCACTCTATTTATTGAGTTATTTATACATTTCAATATGTCTGTTTGTTTGAAGTGCAATTTTCTTCCTATCAGGTTTATTCCAGAGTCAGCCAGGTGGCTGTTAAGCAGAGGCAGAAAAGAAGAAGCCAAACAGCTCATTGTCAAAGCAGCAGCCATTAACAAACACCCTGTGTCAGAGTCTCTTCTGGACAAGGTAGTGAATCACATTCATCGGGGAGGAGTTTTCAAGAACATCGGATGACACCTGTAAAATAGCTGTTTATTTGTTATGTTTACTATTCAACATATTCATGACAAGAGATGTATCTATGTATTAGCCCTGCAATAGAATGGGGACCTGGTCAGGGTGTCTCTCACTGTATGTAATGTCAACCCTGAACTGGAACTGGAAAAAACTAGACTGATGGATTCATTTCAAGTCCTTTTTCTTAATTTGCTATGATGGTGTTACAGCAAGCATGACTTCTCCCACAGATTGAAGTGAATAACTCTGTGAATAACGGAGGAATAAAAATCCTCTTCAGATCATCACTGCTGACCAGATATTTCTTTATTATAATACTATCATGGTAAGTTCAACATCTATAGTGAGGTTAATACATTAAAAGGGAAATATGTTAATACAAAAACATGTTGCTGTTTTTAAATGCTAAGATTGGCAATTTGATGTTTTGATGATTAAATGGCCATTCATAAATGTGTTATAAATGGTTCATGACACAGGACTTTTGTGTCTGATTAAATGTGTTTCTCTTCTCTTTTAAAGGTTTTCCGTGAACCTTTCCATCTACAGTTTGTACTTAGACATGCAAAACTTTGGTTTGAGCATCTTTGTAACCCAACTCCTTTATGGTGTTTTTGAAGTACCATCTGTTTTACTCTCCATGTGGCTGCTGGATATTTTTGGGAGGAAAATATTATTCATAGCAACCCTTCTGATCGGAGGAGTCTCTTCCATACTTATCCTCGCTGTTCCTGATAGTAAAAGCTTTGTTATATCACAAAATGCATTTTATTTTTGTCTGATTATCATGTTTACGTTCACTTTTATTAATTATTTATTTCATTATGTCAGGTTACGCCATTTCTGTCACATCTTTAGCTGTTGTGTCTCGTTTTTTCTTGATATGGGCTGGCTCTATTTGTATGGTCTTTATGCAGGAGTTGTTTCCAACATCGGTTAGGTAAGCAGTCACAGTTTTTATTCATGTTTGTGAACAACTTGTGTGAAAAGAACGCTGAAAAAAAAAGACCAACTTAGTGAGTATACCTTTTGTCCTCCTGTTTCAGACAAACAGCCACATCTTTAGGATCCATATCAGCAAGATTAGGTGGATTACTGGCTCCACTGCTGAACTTGTTGGCCATGTACCACTCGGTCATACCCATCACAGTCTTCAGCTGCCTTACGTTGATAGGCGGATTTCTCGGCTTCTTGCTTCCCGAAACCAAAAGAAAAGAGCTTCCTGAGACGACTGAAGAGGCTGAGCGCAATGGGTATCAGTGTTTAACTACTGCAGCATCTCAAACATGTTATTTTGTCAGTCATCATTTTTTTCATCTGTTTCTGCTTTATGTCTTTCAGACAAGTTAGTTCCACAAGAAGAACAACTACCAGTCCACATTCATATTCAACCAAGATGTAGATGTTTGTGTACTGACTTTGTTTTGTATTGAGTTTTTAACTCTTTCTACAAATATACCAAAATAATTATGATATGTTTTTAATTCAAATATGTGGGGATTCTAACACAGGAAACTCCAAAAAGACAGGATACAGACAGATAAGAGAAATCACAACCACGGACAAACAAGGCTGGGACATATATACACAGGTGGGTGATAAGGGTAGTGGAAACAGCTGGGGAACACACTAGGAACAAATTAGGCTTGACGAGGCAGAGGAAGCAAAATAAAACAGGAAGTGACAAACACGGAACAGAGACAAAGAACAAAAAACAGAAGATGCGAGCTTGACACAGACAAACGGAAAGACATGACAACATACAGGAGACAGACATACACACAGATGAGACAGGGAACAACTGGACACGAAAGGGGACTAACTAAATCAGGAGAGGGACTAAGAATTAGAACCATGGATAACCAAACTAGGGAGTGAGATTATAACAGAGCATCACTGCACTGTCGAGATCATCGATATCCTCAAATTTGAAGACACGTATTCTACTAATTAATCCATGATTCATAATAATCTGATCCCTTTATCATTCCTTGCTTTATTCTGCAGCAGATACACTGTATTAGTGTTTGCTTTGTATGTTTCTCCGTACCTCCACAGAGTTGTATTGTATGGACCAACTGTGAAACAATACCGTTATTGTATTAATGTTTTTTGATATAAGAGATCTCTTAGTTTTATATAATGCAAGCATTTAGATACAGTCTTATATGAGCTTTTTAACGATTTGGCATCAGTTTATGGACTTACTTTATTATAACGTTATTCATCATAATTATAAATTAATTTTTTCTAAGCACTACATGTTTTGTATGCTATAATTTAGTGATAAATTATTGACTTTCAATCTTTTCTTTAAAGGCATTGTTTGCAAACAGTTTAACATTAAATCCAAAAATACTCTTCAGTGAAAGTAGAGTGTGATGGCATCACCTGAGACTGGCACCTAAACTATCTGGCACGTTCGTGCAAAGTCATAATTTCATTCTGATGTAATTTAAATCTAAATATAAAAAAGATTTAACACCAAATTTAAATTTCATGGGCGGCATGTTATATAACACAAATCCAGTTGCTTCCCACAAATAAAAGAAATGAAACAAAGAAACAAAACATTGCTTCTGTGTTGATACTTTTTTCAAATGTGATAAAATAAAATAAAGTAAAAGCGGTCGACTGCTCTCTCTCCATACCTCCAATCTGTTCTTTCACATCGAGTTTATTTCAACCTGCACTGACTATCACAACTCTTCACACACACTAAGTTACTTTAGTGCACAGTACTGTGTAACACACTTTATAGTGTAATACTGAGCCTTTTCTGTTTTTGCTTTGAAATATTTTACTTTGTTATATAAGACAAGATAAGATAAGACAAGACACATGCTCAATAAAGCAAGAGGAATAAAGATATACAATAATATACAATAAGAATTGTAGGATAAGGTAATACACAGTAGGATAGTGCAAATATAGTATCAAAATAACTCTAACAAGTAATGATGTAACTATATCAGGTAGGAAGGATTTCCTGTGGCGGTCAGTTCTGCATTTAGGGGCGATGAGTCTTTTGCTGCGTGTGCTCCGATGGTCCATCATGGAGGCGTGCATGGGATGGAAGGGGTTGTCCATGATACAGAGAAGCTTTTTTAGTATTCTCCTCTCAGACAACTCCACCGGGTTCCCCAGTCTGACACCCAGGACAGAACCAGCCTTTATAATCAGCTTGTTCAGCCTGTTGGCATCAGCTGTCTGCCCCGGCACAAAGAACACAGCGCTGTTTACCACAGAGTGATAGAACATGGTCAGCATTTCCCACAAACGTTGAAAGACCTGAGCCACCTCAGTAGGAACAGCCGACTCTGCCCTTTCTTAAAGACAGCACTGGTGTTCTTGGACCAGTCCAGTTTACAGTCAATGTGTACCCACCACATCAGCCCCTCTGATGGTGACAGGGGGAGACGGAGGAGCATGCCTCCTGAAGTCCATGATCAGTTCCTTTGTCTTTGTGATGTTAAGTTGTAGATGGTTTAGCTCACACCACTCGACAAAGCTGTCCACCACACTCCTCCTGTCCCTGATACAGCCCACAGTGGCAGTGTATGGTACACACAATATATTATCCATACATGCATTTTCTTAACCACTTAGACTAGCAGGGGGGCTGTTATAGCACACTCTGAAAAGTTCACCAGTCTATTACAGGAGCAATACATAGAGACAGATAACCATTCACACCATAGGCATGAACCTAACATGCATATTTTTGGACTGAGGGGGGAAGCTGGAGCATGGCTGGCACAGCTGCAGACCTCACCGTCTCAGCACTAGATCCTGGTTTGAAAAATGGTCTGCTTCATAGGCACGAAGAAACCAAACTAGCACAGCTTCACAGACAGGAACACAGCTCCTCCTCTCACTAACAGCTGAAGTAGTTAACATTCAGAGCTGTCATGTATAAGGGTGTACGAGGAACGAGAGGGGCCAAATGCAGACACACTCAGCAGACCATGGTGAACTTAAAGTGAGCCTTACATAACACACAAGAAAGGAAATTGAAAACTATCATCTACTGAAAAGTAAACGTGGAACAACACAAGGGCTAGGAACACTGGACCGAGGAGACATCTAGGAGGGATGGTGACTCAACATCCTGACAGTGAACATGGGAGAAAAAAACAATACATACACAAAAAGGTGATTAGGGAAGATGTTTATTTTAATGAGACATGGGAAGTAAAACAGATCATAACGCACACGAGATGGGGGACTGTCACAATAAAACAGGAGGTGACAGAATACTGAAACCAGGATGTGATACACAAACTTGACAGACAAAAGAGCAACAGACACGAGGATCGAACACTAGGGGAGAGCTGAGCACTAGAGCAATTTGCGAGAGAGAGAACAAGACTAAACACATAAATGAGTAGAAGAAATAATACAAACATTACACATCCCAAATATCCCATAATACATAAAGAAAAACTGGAAAGCCCCCAAAATCTCAAAACACTGGGTCAACTGACCCAGGACTGTGACAATAACACTAAACAGCACTTTAGTAGGAATTTCAGGTGTCAGTAAAGCTCCCGTCTCAACAACATTCAAGCATTAAACAATTATCAAGAATGTTAATCTGGCTTTCGCACACGCTAATAGTAGACCTTTAACTATTAGGAATTAACCAATAGGCACATTATCAACCTGTCACTAACATAGCAGCTGCCGGACTGCGGGATGCTTGTGAGATATTGAGATGCCGCAGAGCAGATTAAGTACGGGTGAAGAACCGAGCAGGTTTGTGGCTGTGCAGAGCAGACGTAATACAAGCAAATAAAAAGTGAAATCCAGAGCAGAATTAGACCTGCTTAGAAGAATTAGAAGAGACTGAGGCGGAGCCGTGTGAGTCGTGGATGAGAAACAGGCTGCAGGCAGATGTGGAATGTAGAAAATGAACTTTAACTTTTCTCCTTTCACAGTAATTTATTAAAATGTCATCTATAGTGATGTCTTTATATCACTATAACTAATGGTCATTTCTTGAATGTAATTTACCTTCAGAGATCTGTAATGAAATTGTCTAAATAATATGTAAAATGTATAAACCATCTAAACGTTTCTCTCACAAAACGCTACGTCCGGATGAACAGAATCAACTTTTGGAGATTTACTTACCTGGATGATTAAGCATGCATCAAGACCATCTAAACTTAACTGATCTTAAATTCTTATTTTATTAAATCTTCAAACATTCGTTGAAAATTAACAACTTGTTTTAAATATGACTTCTTCACCATAACTTTTGTTGTTGTGGGATGGGGTAAAACTTTTTCCAGTGGTATCAAAAATGGTATAATTTGCCTGGTAATTCGTATTTTAGTATCGTGACAATCCCACTACAGAACACACAGAGATCTCTCCCTCTTGGCTGTTTAAAGGGCCGGTGCTGTCACGCTTCAAATGCATGCATCATTCCTCTCCACAACTCATAACCCAGTGTTTTAAAGAAACCTTATAAGTTGACATCTACAATGAGAAAATGGAGAGGTTGTTTGTTTTGTTTTTCCTTCCTTTTTTTCTGAATGACGACTTGCATGTATCTTTTCACTGCGGCAACTTAAGGATAGCAATAGCCTACACTTTATTTATTCAGAAAACAAAGTGTAGTAAAATAAACACAAATATGATAGTACTTAACAACATGAAAGTTGCATGGTGTCACCATAGTGACCTGCTGCGATGTGTAAGACAGTTCTAGAATTCTGCTTCAATCATAACAAACTTCATTTGTGCAGGAGAAACAACCATTTTCATCTTGACCTTTTAGCTAAGTGCTCACATTGTATTTGACCATTTTTGCTATACGCAGCAACAACATTTTAATGGAGGAAAGTATTGGAGTCTACAAACCTACTGGGGTATGTGAGAGTCTTTAATTTTACTGCATTTAAACAGTATGAAGAATTTGGTGTATTTTTAAAAAAAATACAATGAATCAAGTTAACTAATAATGAGTAACTTCTTGTTTCTTTGACAGGTGTTGTTTGACACACCTGAGTACAACACAGCTTTAAAGACCTGCTGGCACCCTCAAAGCTACAAGACTCAGGTAAGAACCACAATCCATCCAAGTCAAAACTGGCGTAAAATATCTGGTAAATTTTGGTTTATTTTTAGTGCTCATGATTAAATGTCTCTTTATTTTTAGATTGCAGTGATGATGGCATTCCTTGGACTTCAGCAGGAAAATCAGATACCACCTCATATAACTGCTGAAGATATGATCAACCTTTTAATGGAGGAGAACAAAAAAACACTGAGAGAGCGGTGAGTTACTGTGACACCAACAGACCATAGATGAACGTCTGTTTGTGATGATGCTGAGATAAAACCTGCTTTGTGTCCATTTTAAGACTTTGGGAGTTTGACATTGAGAAATTGGAAGAAAATGAAACCAAAGGTCTTCTGAAACTGGTAAGACAAGAAAACTGATGGACCTTATAGTAATTTGTAGATTTTTAAAAAGAATTTTCATTAACAACAGAAATGCACTTTATATGTGTTTTTCTTCTTTTGTTTTGTTTTGATTTGATTTGTTTCAGGTGTGGGCAGTGAACATTATTAATAAAATGAAGGACATTGAGCTACAGGCTCGGCTGCTCCTCAAATATCCAGAGGCCATACCTCCCAAATTTCAGTGAGTCCCATTTGACATACAGTTATGGAAAATTCAGCTACAGTGTCCCAATATATCTGAATACTTATAACTTTAATCTACAGAACGCCTAAACTCCTCAGCATGTTCAACAAATACCTTGAGATCCTTAAAGAGAAGCTGCAGGAAACACAGACCTCCAGACTGCTAAGCCCCCAAGAAGTAGGGATAGAGGTAGTTCCCAGAGTCCTGCAAGGCTTCTGGGAGCATCCTCCTTACCCCCTTTTGAACCTGGCATCTCAGAGTCTGAGCGAGCTCTCCACCTGTGTTACAAAAGCCACTCTGGATCAACTCTCCAACACTCCCAGAGCAAAGGAAAGCAAGGCCATCTTCTCCCGCTCCATGCGAGATGACATGGTCCAAACCATCTTGGCAGAAATTAGAGCGAAACACCCAGACACTGTGCTCAGCAACACTGCAAACCACACTACCCTGCTCACTACAATCTCTGGTGTAGCAACAAACCACATTTGTAAGATCTTGCAGCCCCAGATCCCCAACGAGCCAGTTCATCACACACAAGCTGCTCAATGCCCAACAAGAGATCAGTACGACTTAAACATTACTGGAACTGAGGAAGAATCAACAAGTCCAGAAATTAACGATGACATGGTAACACCAGGTTCTCTATCAGCCTCTGCTGAATCTCCATTTTTGTCTGAGGTTCAAGCCAGTGAGGAACACCCTTCAGAAACATCATCCACGTGTGAACCACTTATACCAGTTACCAATACTGCAGAGAGCTGTGAAGACCTTAAAACCAAGAAGAAAGAAAAAGGTTTCCTCCAAAAATTCTTCAAAGCTCTGTGCTGTTTCTGTTTCTGCGTCAGTCTCCCAGCAACTGACTGATTGTCTTTAAGACTCCTATCACCCCTTCTCTTTATTTTTTTTCTCTGTATCAAAAAGCAAACAAGAACA